GTGGGAACCGAAGAAGTAACCTTCTTCTCACATTCTCCACTTCAGGTAAGTAGTATAGTTTTCCCCTTTAATAATAATAACACATTCTCCACTTCAGTCTGAGTGGCCAGGGACCAGTGTCCCGGATCGGGCCCGACAGTACGCATGCCTGCTCCACACCCCACGACGGCCTCAGTGCCGGGCATTACCCCCGGGCCCTCTCGACCCCGGACGCGTCCCTGACACTATGCCGGAAACTCTGGTATCTGGTAAAGTTCGTTGGTTGGCCAAGCTCAGAGAACCAATGGCTCCAGCAGGACCACTTAGCCCATGCCCCTGACCGGATCGAGGAATTTTACAGGACGCATCCCCTAGCCCCAGGGAGAGAGAGGGAGAACCGCCTGGCCGCTTCGAGGCAAAGTGGCTTAAGGAGGGGGTGATGTCAGGGCACACCCACCTGACCCGGGTCCACCCAGGTCCACCTGGCCACACCTCACCCGCTGCCCCGCTGCCCATCCCTCTCTTTCCTTCTTCCTCCCTCTTCCCCCCTCTCTCTTTCTTCCTTTTCTCTCTTTCTTCCCTTTTCTTTATTTCATTCTTCCCATCACTCTCTTCTTGTTTATTCCTTCTATTTACATGGACCACTTTCCCCTGTATCAATGTACCATTGACCTGTCCGGCCCAGACACCCTGGACAGCTCCCCACTGTGCCCAGCATGCGTGCCTGCAGCGGATGCTCTCGGGATCCCCCACGGGGACACCTGGATGGCTGCAGCTGTCTCCGAGGAGGATGCGGCACCCATCATGTGACTCAAGCTGCATGTACATAAATGTACCTGAAGTGGGAACCAAAGAAGTAACCTTCTTCTCACCTTTTCCACTTCAGTCTAAGTGGCCAGGGACTGCTGTCCTGCATCAGGCCTGCCAGCACACACACCCGCTTCGCACCCGGAGAGGGTCCCCCACCGGGCACCACATCCGGGCCCCCGGACATGTCCCTGACAGGTTCTACTTCATATAGCCTGAGCACACTCCTGTTAGAAGCTAAGCTCCACGCTGCTTCTTCATCCTCCAAAACTGTTGACCTTTCGGCCATTCCAGAGCAGTACCATGAATTTGCGGATGTGTTTAGCAAGAGCAAAGCCTCTATACTAGCGCTGCATCATGAATATGACTTAAAGATCGACCTTGAGGAAGGCACATCACCACCCCTAGGAACCCTTTACTCCCTCTCTCCCCTGGAACTTGAAGCTCTTTGCATGTTCTTGGAGGAACACTTAGCTTCCGGTTTCATCCACCCCGCTACATCCTCCCATGCAGCACCAGTTCTCTTTGTCTGCAAGAAGGACGGTTTGCTCCACCTTTGCGTTGACTTCCGAGGACTGAACAAGATCACAAAGAAGGATCATTATCCGCTTCCCCGCATATCAGACCTCCTTGATGCTCCTAGCCGTGCCAATGTCTACACTAAACTCGACCTCCGCCATGCGTACCATTTGGTCCGTATTGCTGCGGGCGACGAGTGGAAGACTTCTTTTCGCACCTGCTATGGATCCTACGAATGGCTAGTCATGCCGTTTGGCCTGACTAATGCCCCTGCGGCCTTCCAACAATTCGTCAACACAACCTTTGCTGACCTCTTGGACGTTTCCGTGGTTGCGTATCTGGATGATATCCTCACTTACTCTGAGGACGTTGCTTCTCACCAGGAGCATGTCCGTGAGGTTCTCCAGAGACTCTGCGCTAATGGCCTCTATGCCAATCCGAAGAAATGCGAATCCCACACCGATACTATGGAGTATCTCGGCTACTGCTTATCTCCAGCTGGACTCACCATGTCCACAGAGAAGGTTAAAGCTGTTCAGGACTGGCCTGAGCCCCATAAGGTTAAGGATGTCCAGTCCTTCCTTGGCTTCGCAAACTTCTATCAGCGTTTCATCCACAAGTATTCTGACATCGTAGTACCCTTGACACGGCTCACATGTAAGGATACTCCATGGCTCTTCTCTGACGAATGTCGCTCTGCTTTCCATCTTCTTAAAGACACTTTCACCTCTGCCCCCATCCTTACTCATTGGGTGCCTGACACTCCGCTCATTGTGGAGACAGACACTTCCGATTATGCAGTATCAGGGATCCTCTCCATCCGGTGTTCTGATGGTGAGATACGCCCTGTCACTTTTCGCTCGCATACGTTGTCCCCACCGGAGTTGAATTATGACACCCATGATAAGGAGCTCCTCACGATACACGAGGCATTTAAGGGCTGGCATCATTACTTAGAAGGATCCGGAGATCCAATCAACGTTGTCACTGATCACAAGAACCTCAAATACTTCTCCACTACGAAGCTCCTGATGCAGCATCAAGCCCATTGGTCTGAGTTTCTATTACAATTCAACATGATAGTCCGCTTCCGTCCTGGAAAACTCGGTGCCAAACCTGATGCATTGACTAGACATTGGGACGTCCATCCCAAAGAAGGGGATATGGACTATGCTTGCATCAATCTGCAGAACTTCAGGCCCATTTTTTCATCGGAATTTCTCGCATCGTCCCTATGAGCTACTTATCTGGCTGCTTCTGTTATCGAAGCTAGTTCCATGGTCAATACAGAGACATTGCACATGGACATCATCTCCGCACTCCCCTTGGATACTTTCATATCTTCACATCTCTCCTCTCCTATACCTCCTGACTCTCGTTGGTCACTAGATGCTGAAGGCCTGTTGAGGCTGGATCACTGCATCTATGTTCCTGACCTGAATGATCTCCGACTTTGGATCTTGCGTAATAAACACAATCATCCGCTTTCAGGCCACTTTGGCCAGAATCGGATGCTAGATCTGATTCGTTGAGATTACACCTGGCCCGGAATCCACACCTTCATCAAGAACTATGTCTCATCTTGTACATCATGTGCCCGTGCCAAGGTCCCTCGCCACAAGCCTTTCAGCTTGTTGAAACAACTCCCCATCCCCAAATGTCCTTGGAACTCCATATCCATGGATTTCATAGAACAACTCCCCTCTGTCAGGGGACGACTCCCAGGTCCCCATGACCCTCCCCTATGGTCCACAGCCCTATGGTGTAACCAGCCCTATCCAGGGCACAACCTACTGTGGGTAAGAAGATGAGAAGGAAGCTAACTTCTCATCTTCCCACAGTGGCCCCAATATCAGCAAAACTTCCGGGGATACTAGGAAGTCACATGAGGAATAGGAACCGGGCCCGGAGCATGCGGCGTGCGGAGCATGCGGGGCGGAGCACACATGCGGGTCCGGGCACGGGTCCGGGTCCGGGCTAGTCAGAGTGTGTGCCCTGACACCCTCCTCCTCCGGTTTCACTTCCGTCATCATGGACCACTTATCGAAGCAATGCATCTTTGTCCCCATGTACGATACCATCACCTCGCCAGAGCTGGCGAAGTTGTTCCTCCTCCATGTGTTCTCCAAACACAGAGTTCCTTCCCATATCACCTCCGACAGGGGTCCGGAGTTCGTTTCACACTTCTTCTGTTCGCTTGGTAAAGCCCTCAACATCCGCCTTCACTTCACCTCCGGTTATCACCTGGAAGGAGATGGACAAACAGAGTGTATGAACCAGATGCTAGAACAGTACTTGCGCATTTATTGCAATTATCAGCAGGATAATTGGGCTGAGCTCTTGCCTCTTGCAGAGTTCGCCTACAATAATGCTCCTAGCACAACCACTGGCGTCTCTCCTTTCTTTGCCAATAAAGGCTACCATCCGAACCTCTCCATCCATCCAGAGTGAGATCTGTCTTCACTACATGTGCAGGAGTACACCATGGATCTCGACTCTCTCCACCAATTCCTCTGTGAGGAGATGCACCACACCCAGATCCGATATCAGGGTCTGGCCAATGCTAGACACATCCCAGCTCCTGATTTCAAGGGTGGTACTTCAGTCTACATCAAGGCCAAGTACTTCCGTTCCACCAGACCTTTGAGGAAGCTGTCTGAGAAGAATTTCGGCCCCTTCAAGATCATTGCCCACATGGGTAGCCACTCCATCACGCTCCGCCTCCCTGAATCCATGAGAGCCATTCACCCAGTCTTCCATGTGTCTCAAATCGAACCAGCCACTCCTAATGTCATCCCGAACTGCAACCAACCTCCACCTCCACCGATTGTGATCAACAGACAAACCTGAGTTTGAGATTGGAGAAATTCTCGACTCCAAGATCGATCGCTATAGACAGGGTTGTCTGATCTCGTTGCAGCTTTTCACGCCCACTATCCACACAAGCCTGGGCCTGAGTACTAGGTTTGATATAAAATTTTCTTCTTCTTCTCCACCTCCTCTCCTCCTCCAGCACCAACATTCCTCCTGTCCACAGTACCTCCCTTAGCCTCTCTCATAGGTCTTACGGCCTTCAGGGGTTCAGGCCTAAGAAGGGGATACTGTCATATCCATACCAACTCCACCCAACCTCTGCCCTATTCCACCACCATTCCAGTTCACCTCCGGTTCATCCTCTCCCTCACCTCTGCCATATCCTCTGGTCCACCTCCGCCTCCAATCTCTGGTACCTTCCCCAGTACCCCTTATCCTCATCATAGAAGTTTATTAATATTTCTACCCACCCAACATTACTACAGACCTCCTAGGACCTCTGCCAACCCTGCAAAGGTTTTCCCATTAATCCAATAGCTGTCGCTAATCCCACCCTTCAGTTACCCACTCCACAAGGCAATTCTCTCATGAGCTCGTCAACCCAGCAAGTGGGTAAGTCCATCTTGGGTTTTCCCTTTGTTCTCATTTGTCTTGTATTATGTATATAAGTCATGTACTGTAGTTGATGGCACTTCAGTGCAAAATCAATGACTAGATCCCCCAGATATAAAAATCTAACATGGCTTTACTCATACCTCCAGAATAGATGCCAATGGTATCTAACTTCCACCACATTGGATGCTCACACGTGCAGAAAATTATTGTCAGAAATTGGCTTGGACCCTTGGTATAACACTTACAGTGGCAAGATGACCAAATGGATGTGTCGCTCCAATGACCACCCAAACCTCCATTACTGTGTCTGCCAAATGCAACACAGCAAAGAATCATGCAGTGACCTTGGGTTCCTTGTCCCACTTGGCCTAAAAGAATCCAATCCCCCTCCAATCCCATCTCTCGTGTACTGTGAATCCCAGAGCGATGCTGAGCGGAGTGCCAACTTCCTCAGGTCACAAGTTTGCACATCCCTCCAAGAGAAAGTTGTTTGGGTTCACTCCAGGATGTTGGATGGACATAAGTTGAAGGTAGTCAACTCATTTCTTTCTAGTTCCTCCTCCTCTCAGGTTGGAGGAAATTCTGCAGATGGGTTGTTAGCACAGGCAATCATGTGTCAGTGCTTCTCCTCCCAATAATCCTGTAATTCTTTACCACATAATTCCCAAGGTGGATCGCTTCGAACAGGCGATCAACTCCCGGCTCCGCGAGAGCATTTACCGCCTCCATCCCATGCCAACGACCTGGGTCGAGTGGAAACGCGAGGCCACCCTCCTTGACAACCAGCGGCGGTGCCTCCAGGCAATGCAACCCCGCATAGCCCCCACCAGACCCCCACTCTTGCCCCCGAGACCCCCACTCCCTACCGCTCCCCTGCAGCCACGCCCCCTACCCACTCCTGCCGCACCCCAGCCCCCCGCGCCCTGCCCTGCAGCAGGAGCAGGGCCACAACCCATGGACCTCGACCGCTCGAGGATCGACCAGAGGCGAAACGGGCTGTGTTACAATTGCAACACACCAGGGCACATCGCACAGGATTGCCCGCAACTGAAAACCCGCCGAGCCAGATGGATGCACCCCGAAGACCTCAGAGCGCTCATGGAGGGGCTGAGGAGACAGCTGGTAGATGGACCAGAGGCAGAGGGAGAAGGGCAGGAAGCAGAGGCCCAAGAGGATTTTCAGGAAGGCAACCAGTGAGGGACGCGTCCCGGCTGCCTGCAGGCGATAGTACCAACTCGTGTAGATACCGTGAGGCACCTAAGTCGGTGCCGATGTCTAAATTCCACTGAGTCATCGCCAAGAAAAAGAGGAAAACCGTGTCCTCAAACAGAGAGATACCAAGTGCGGCACCGGAGGTAGCGGTCCTGCCACCCGCCATCTACATGCTGTCGAAGCAACCCCCCAGATCCCTCAACCTAGCTGTAAAGCTAACCACCTTGACCTCCCTCGCTATTGTCTCTGTATCAGCCCTCTTAGACTCAGGAGCCACCAGGAACTTCGTGAGCCCCGAGTTCGTCAGAAAGCACGGGCTCGAGACAACCCCGCTCCCCCAACCCATCCCAGTCCGCAACGTCGATGGGACCCCAAATGAGAATGGGGCCATAACTGGGGAACTAGAGGCCCTTCTGACATTTGGACAGCACACAGAGCAGGCCCGCTTCACCGTCGCAAACCTGGGGCGGCAGTCCCTCATCATAGGCCATTCATGGCTGCTGCACCACAACCCAGAGGTAGACTGGATGTGGCAAAAGGTCAGTATGTCTCGCTGCCCATCCTCCTGTCGGTCGACATGAGGACACACCGACCAGGACCCCGTAGGGGAACCAGGGGACGGGATTTACACCACTATCATCCCTCCAGGGTGGGGACACGAACTGAGAGCGACCATGACACCGTCTCAGTGGATGGCCCAGGAAGCCTGCGAACCGGAAGCAGAGCCTGCACCGTTCGAGGCGCTAGTCCCAGAGCAATACCAGGACTTCCGGGACGTATTCTCGAAAGAGGCCTTCGACCAGCTGCCCCCACGGAAGCCCTGGGACCATGCAATAGACCTGGTGCCAGATGCCAAACTCCCGAGAGGGAGGACTTTCCCCCTATCACGACCAGAGCAGAAGGAACTAGACGAGTTCCTGCGTGAGAACCTGCGGAACGGGCGCATACAGGTGTCCAAATCCCCAATGGGGGCCCCAGTCTTCTTTGTCAAGAAGAAGGATGGAACGCTGCACCTAGTCCAAGATTACCGGAAACTCAACAAAATCACGGTCAAAAACTCGTACCCCCTCCCACTCATTTCGGACGTCCTTGCATGCCTCCGAAATGCCAAGTACTTCTCGGCGCTAGATCTGCGCTGGGGATTTAACAACGTCCACATCAAGGACGGCGACGAGTGGAAGGCAGCGCCCCCGACCAACCGCAGGCTATTCAAGCCCACCATCATGTTCTTTGGCCTGTGTAACTCCCCAGCGACCTTCCAAACAATGATGAACGACATCCTCCAGGACTTCATCGACCAGGAGGTCGTCATCTGCTACATGGACAACATTCTGATCTTCACTGCCACCCTGGAGGAGCACCGGAGGGTTGTCCGAGAGGTCCTGGAGATGCTGCGGAAGCGGAGACTCTTCTTGAAGCCAGAGAAGTGTAAGTTTGAGCGGAAACGGATCAAGTACCTTGGCCTCATCATCTCCAAGGGAAGCGTCGCGATGGATCCCATGAAAGTCCACGGAGTTCTTGACTGGCCAACCCCAACCAAGGTCAAAGAAGTACAGTCCTTCTTGGGGTTTGTCAACTTTTACTGCCGGTTTATCAAAGACTTCTCCGAGACCACCCACCCCCTCCACGCACTGACTTGCAAGACCAAGGCATGGGCCTGGGGACCAGACGAGGACCATGCTTTCCGCGCCCTTAAAGATGCCATCACCTCTGCCCCGGTCCTCGCCTTCCCCACCAATACAGGTCATTTCAAACTCGAGTGCAACGCCTCTAACTTTGCGACCGGAGCAGTACTATCCCAGCTCCAGACGGACAGAGAGTTCCACCCCATAGCCTTCATGTCCAAGGGTTTCATGGATGTAGAGCGTAATTATGAGGTGTACAACAAGGAGATGCTCGCAATAGTGTGTGCCCTCGAGGAGTGGTGGCATTTCCTACAAGGAGCGGAGGAGAAAGTGTCAGGGACAGCTCCGAAAGCGGCGAGGTCCCAGCGTGCAGGACTCAGTGGGACGAGTAGCGGCTGTGCGTAGCGGCGATCCCGTCGTGGGGTGAGCATCCCCAACCACTTAGTCTGAAGTGGGAATGTGAGTTATCATTAAAAGGGAAAGCTACACTACTTGCCTGAAGTGGGAATGTGAGAAGAAGGCTACTTCTTCGGTTCCCACTCCAGCTGTTATTATATACATGCGGTATCGATCACATGGGGTGCGCCACGTCACCCTCGCACACAGCCACGGCTCTCCAGGTGCCTCCGCGGGAGATCCTGAGAGGGCCCGCTGTGGGTGCAGGGCTAGTGCGGCGGCGGTGGCGGCGATATAGGGATGGTAAGATACAGGAGGGGAAATGGGCATGCGCACCAGTGATACATTGAGCAGCGGGAAAGGTGGTCTGTGTAAGAGAGAGAGAGAAAGAGAGAAAGAAAGAAAGAAGAACAGGAGAAAGGAAGAGGGAGAGGAGGGAGGAGCAGTGCGGAGCGGGGAAGCGGAGCGAGGGTCGGGCGGGGCGTGTCGGGGCATGCCCTGACATCACCCCCTCCTTAAGCCGCTTCGCCTCGAAGTGGCTGGGCGGTCTTCTCTTTCTCTCCCTGGGGCGTGGGGGTGCGTCTGATGGAAGTCTTCCACTAGGTCGGAGGCATGGGTTAGGTGGTCGCGTGCGAGCCACTGGTTCTCTGAGTTTGGCCAGCCGGTATACTTTACCAAGTACCAGAGTTTCCGGCATCGCCATCTGGAGTCCAGAATTTTTTCGACCTCGTACTCTTCTTCCCCATCTATGAGGTCCGGGCCTGGGCGTGGGTCGGTGGGGCGTTCCGCGATTTCATCAGGGCGGTGTGGTCTGACGTTCGTCATGGACACGACTGGGTGGATCCCTTTCTGTCGTGCGGTGAGTCGGAGTTTGACGGCAGCGGGGGAGACGACTTTGGTGATCTCGAAGGGGCTAATCCACTTGTGGTCTAGCTTCTTGGTCGGACAGTCGGTCGTGTAGTTCTGGGTGCTAAGCCAGACCTGGTCGCCTTCTCGGTATGTAGGGGCTGCCCTGCGATTGTGGTCATAGTAGCAGGCCATCTCGTCCGCCGCGTGCTCCAGCGCCGCCTTCGCCTCCTCTTGCATTTTCATCATCCTTGAGGAGAACGCATCTGCGGCTTCCACCTCGGACGTGCATGTGGGCTCTGTCCCCATCCTGGGGTGTTGCCCAGTGTCGAGCTCGAAGGGGGTTCGGCGGGTAGCAGAGTGGACGCGGTTGTTGTAGGTGACTCCGCTAGCGGGAGCCAGTCCGCCCAGTCGTCTTGGCAGTGGTTGATGAACACTCGAAGGTAGGCTTCTATCTCCTGGTTTACCTGCTCGGTTTGTCCGTCCGTCTGTGGATGGTAGGGTGTCGAGGGGGTGAGCTTGACTCCGAGGAGGTCTGCAAGTTCCTTCGAGAAGCGGGAGATGAAGGCGCTTCCTCTATCGCTGAGGATCTCTTCGGGTAAGCCATGGTGTTTCCAGACATGTTCGAGGAAGAGCCGCACGATTCCCGCTGAATCCACCATCATCACCGTAGGGACTGCATGGATGCGCTTGGATAGGCGGTCTACTACAACGAGAATGGCATTGTATCCCTTCAACTCGGGAAGCTCCCCTACCATGTCGACAGAGATCACTTGCCAGCAGCGTGCAGGGACTTTGTTCGGGATGAGCTTTCCAACCTTACGGGAGGGGAAGGGCTTGACGCAGTTGCAGGTGTCACACCCACACACATACCGTCCCACATACTCCGCCATCCGGAGCCACCAGTAGTCACGGGAGACGAGTTCCAGGGTCTTCCATCGCCCTGGGTGTCCCGTCGCCCATGCATCGTGGTGTAGCCGCACCAGGTCGTGGCGGAGCTGCGGGTCCTTGGGGACATATATTCTTCCCCTGTATGTTAGAACTGGGCGGATTCGGACGACTCCGGAGTGGAATCGGAGACTTAGCGTGGAAGGACCTCGGCCTCAGCGACTCAGGCGGAGTGTTGTGCCATTGCTGGTTGTCCTAGGGGTCCCTAATTTCGGATCTAGCAGAGGGAAAGTCTCTTGGGGGGAATTCATGTCGATTTCGGACTGAGGTTACAAGTTACTATGTACATTGTATATAAGGAGGGGTCCGGAATCAAAAGGAGTGTCACGACCATGCATTCTGACCCAGATGCCGGCCCTTATTCTGTTTCCTTTTGTTTCATTTTGTCACCTGACTCATTCAGTTTCTTACTATATATATATGTATATTACATTATTATAACTTTAGTCTGAATATCGACATGGTTTGTCCCCCCTAACAAGGCAGCCCAAGCCACTTCGAAATGTGGGCACTGAGAC